GAAAATTATATTACGGAATGGTTGACGAAAGAAGGAGCGAGAAAAATAGGAAAATTTTGCAATTTACAAAACGCGAGAGAAGAATAAAATTTTTCGAATTATCGTTCAAAACTTTTCAAAAAGACACAGCGTGTTAAAGTAAAGGAGAAAAATTAAAAGATCGTTGCTCGAGAGAATTGGGAAAAATCGTCTATCTTGTTAACGGGGAAAATTTGAATTTCAGGAAACGCATCGTTGTTGATTCAAACGGAGGAATGCAACACCGGAAGGCATCCTCTGTTGGCGAACAATTTGCAGGACGGTGGGGCGGACAGCGACACGAACAGTCATTGCGCGCTGATCCTCGAGGAAACAACGCCTACCTCGGCCAATCATAATTGCGGTAACAGAGAGAAAAGCAATGGCAACAACAATTACGAAATGCGAGAGTTCAACAGGAGACTGTGGTTGTCGAACGGTGGCAGCCCGGGCACGGGTATAACAGCCGGTGGTCAAAGCAGGCGCACCTGACTATGGAAGTGGTGGCGAAACACGTCGAACCGTCTCCTCTACAGGAGCAATCGGTCTGCCGAGATCACCGTGTATAAGTAAGCCTATCTGTATATGCGTGGCTCTGATATACACGCGCGAATAATACTATGTTAATACCATACGAAAGGACAATTTCTTTCTTTCTTTTTTTTTTTTTTATTTAAAAAGAAAAGAGAAGCGAATCAACCTTCGGATTTTTCATTCCTGATCGAATAATAGTTAGGGTCGAATTAATTGATCGTTAAATACGAGAGACAATTTTGGAGAATTTTGTTATTGCGTTGTATTATTGTATCCAAGAACAATCGTAATAATAACAATGATGACGGTTCCTTTCGATTCGAAGGAAAAAAAAAACTTAATAGCAGGAAGAGAGAGCAGATCTTTCGCTCGAAAAGACAATACACGCGTTATTATAGGTACGACGGATTGTAGAGACGTATCGAAAGATATTATATTCAGGTTATTGATTTTCGCGTAAATCGACGTTTCCGTCGAATCCGAAGGGAGATTCCTGCTTTGATCCTTTCCTTTCTTTTTTTTTTTTTTGTCTTTCAAATCACGCGTTGTTCGTACAAATGTAATCTGTTTCTTCGTAACTTCGCGCGAATATAGAGAACGAATAGATTATTCTCGATCTAGTTTCGTAATTTCATACCGGTTTAGAGATCTAGTCCCATCTTCTGCTCACAGAGACTTATAGTTTTTTTTCTTTTTTCTTTTTTTTTCCTTTCTTGCTGCGATATTAATTTTTCGTTTAACCTCGTATCAGATATCGTAGTGATATCTCACGCTCATTCGTTTCTTCGTTGTTAGTTATTTAAATCCAAGAAAATGTCGTGAACAGTCCCCGCAATTATCGAATCACTGACATCTGCGTATAAACAATGATTGAATAAGTTGTTAAAATAAGTTGTTTAAATAAGTAAATGTCGATTCTATAATAATTTGAATAATGCTGATTCATTGAATAATAATAGTCGAATGATTTTACTTTTTTTGTTTTAAGAGGGGAGAGGAATATTTCAATTGGTATCTTCTTTATGTCCATTTTTTCTTTGGGTATATGGGATATGGATGATTTTACTTGATCGATTTTTTTTTTATTTTCCATCGATGAATTATTGGCGATCAGGAAGAATCTGTAAATTCAAGGCTCGTAAACATGTGTTATTAATTAAACGAAGAAAATGTTACTAAGAGTGTAATTAAGAGTATATATATACGCGTTGTCTTTTCTTAATTTTATCGTTAATTCTTAATTCTTAATTTTTTTAATTTTCTTAATTTTATCGTAAGTTAAACGCGTGCATAATTAGTGTGATCGCATAATTTATTTGAAATATTCAATATAATGCTCAAAGTCTTTTTTTGAAATTTTCTTCATTTCTTAATGAGCTAAATGAACATTGCTCATATAAAGTTGTTGAAGAGTTTTGAAATTACAAGTTTTCAAAAAATTAATTAATCTTTTTTTTTTTTTTATTAATTTTCTCAATCTAATCTTTCTATTTTTATCTATTATCTATTAAAATGAAATGAAAATGTATATAAACTTATTTCGAACGCGCATTTAATTATAAATTTGTTTTCCTATATAAAAAGTATTTATGTACATGTTAAATTATTCTATATTTACGTGCGATAGATATTCAATAAATAACGAGAAAGAAAAGAAGTAACTTCAAAAAATTGGACGCCAACAATTTATCCAATTTTTCTTTTTCACACTGGATAAAGTGAGAAGTGAAAAGAGAAAAATACATCAATTCTACTTATTTTGATTCGATTCAATTTCATTATCGAAGAGAGGATTTGCGTCAATCGTATTGAATTTAATTATTTCGTTAATTTTAATTTCCATTAATTTCCATTAATGATCCTCTATTTTCATCGAATTCTTCTATCCAATATCCGTTCCATGAACTCCGGTGATCAAATTAGAATCAGGCATTTTGGTAATGTTGATTCTTAGAGTTTTCTTCTTCGAATTTTCGGTATATTTTTAGAAAACGAGATTAACTGACAGACACATCGTTAATTTATGTAGATATATATCAAATTTTTCTAGAATAGGTAGGATTATTCCATTAGTATTCCAAAACGAAATGCTGTGCGAATTGCGAGCATTTATATCGCGAAAATAGATAAGTCACGTCCGATTCGAATAATCGTTAAATTAAGAGAGATTAAGTAAGATTGCAGGGATGAATATTAGAATAATGAAAAAAATAAATAAATAAATAAGAAATATAGAATCAAAAAGACCAAAAAGTTTAACTCAAAACGAGATAAATCGATATCGCGACGAGATTAATAACATAAACGAACGACCAAATCAAATTATATAAAATACTAAGGCGTATCTTCATTTTTTAAAGGATAGGTCCACAAACCGGAGCTAAGGTTTCTAAAGATTCTACTGACCTCACGAGCACACCAGCCCACAATAAGCGAATAACGTTCAAAGTTTTGCGCGTTGCAAGAAAAATGTATCGTTAATCCTCGTTATATTATCGAATAAAACAACGTTCTGGATCCCAATGTTAGTCGACGATAGAAATTAATTTACAAGATGAAACTGTTTCAATCGACGCTAGTTTAGACTAGTGTATATAATTTTATCGATAATTTTCTCGGCTTCGTTTCTTCGAAGTCACCGTGTTAAATGGAATTCACTAAATAAATGAGATTTTAAAGATACATTTTTCTCGTGACATCATACATAGTGCAAAGTCTGTATGATAATGCTATCCGAAGTGCTGATGAACAAAATAAAATTCTTTTTGCGTAACGACATATAACGGACGGTGAAGCGAGAATCGACACGAACGATTACATACAAGGAAGTATGAACCAAGAAATCAATGGGATAAAACAAAAAAAGAAAAGAAAAAAAAAACAAACAAAAATTAATGAAAAAGAGAAAAAAAGAAAGCAGAAGTGCGTCGAAACTGCATAAAAGGAAAGAGGAAGGTCTGTGGAATGCCTTTCGGTATCCTTTCGATTCTCTTTCTACGCGTATTCCTTACATGTCTTTCCGTCCTTGCACGGTCGGTGAACAAAGAAAAAAAAGAAAAAAGAAGAAGAAAATAATCAATTACTTTTGTAGATTTATTTTTAGCAGTAAGTTTTCCTATACGAAACTACTTCTCTTTAAACCGAACTAAAGAACGTTTCAAACACGGAGCCGTTGTATACTGATTTTTACCGCGCGAATCATGTGAGTAGTATGTCACAATGTAAAATGTAACTATCGTCGCTATTACATAAAATGCGGCATTTTTCTGCTATTTGATTCCTATTTTAATTAAAAAATTTTAAAGTTTTAATTATCATATTTATCTTTATCGCGAGTTCAATTATGCGAATAATAGAGATTATGCTCCAATTTTCACTGTTTCCAATATACAAATTGGACTACAATCCAATAAAAATATGTAAAAAGAAAAAAAAAAAAAAACGAACAAAAATTGTTCAGTTATTCAAACACGCATGATTGCATTAGATCACGAGAAGTAGAGTACAATGTGTTGCTCGTGATCAAATTTTTTTACGATAAATTACGATAACGGTGAGGTGTGTGAAAGGTTAATCGGTTTTTATCATGCAAATGTTTTTTTATTATTTCATTCCTGAGAATTAAAATACGATAGTTATCGGAGGATATTGTGGGATACTACTGCCAAACTGATTTTTTTTCAGCAAAAATATGATTAAAAAAAAAAANNAAAAAAAAAGAAAAGGAAAAAAGAAATAGCAAATCTGTCTTGTTTCGATGATCTACGTATATTAGTGAATATATATATATATATATAAAAAACACATATGTATATATGTAGTAAATATATATGTGTTTTTATATACACAAAAAGACAAACACACAAGTCACCGCATAAGAGTAACGACTATAAATTCCTAGTTCTTTTTATATAAAACGATACATGCAGCGCGAGTAGTCTGTATTGATTTGTGCAGTAAGTCGTATAAATATAATACGATACTCAAAGTAATTGGCTTCCTAGCTAGGATTAATCGAATCTTAGGGATTATATACGTTTATGAATGCAAAGATAATGAATATACGTATTAGTAGAACTGTATATAGCAATGTATGGTAGTCAAATACTAAATATCGATTGTCTGTTTAAGAAAAAAGCCAGAGTTCACATGGTTCAATGATATATGTCGAAACATTATTTCGTTTACTCTTGTTTAGAATAACGAGAATATTAATTAAATCATGAAACTATACGAGTTAATGCGATTCATCATTAAACTTCAGATTTAATATTTTGTCTTTTTCATAATTATATCAGTCTGGAAAACAGGGTATTCTCTAGCACGGTACGTTGTAAAGCATAGATTACTATCAAAGAAACCATTATTACATTCATTAACGCGTATTGCCAATGAGATGTCATTTTTCAATACATATGTTCCTTTTTTTATATCATAATTTTTCCTTTTTCATATCATAATTTTTAATTATTATAAAAAAAAAAGAGAGAAAAGATAAAAATTGCATTTCAAGGGTTCTTTCTTAATCAGGCCATCGAATTATCATTGAATGTACTAAGCTACAATAATAAAAATAATATAAAAGCTTACACCTCGCAGACATACAGCCTCTGCCACTAAATGTATATAAGGATATATTATATGTAAAACAAATAATAGATAGTATTAATTGATTTTTAAACTGATCATTTAGAAAGAGGCAAATATGTTACTGCAAGCCGCCCAGAAGTGAAGATCTACACGCTACTTTTAATTAGCATAAGCTTTAACTAAAAAAACTTTTAACTAAAAAGGGACGATATTATTTTTCACGTTTTAATTCGTTCCTTTGATTCGTTCAATCGTCAAATAGTTAAATTAAAAAGGTTCATATCTCTATGTTTTAGTCATACAATGTATCCCGACAACAATGAATTATGATCCCATAAGAAGGTTTTAAAAAAGTTTAACATGTGTAGTAATTTATATCTGATGTTTAAATGTAATATGTATATTGAGAAGAATGAAAGAGAGGGAGCTTTGAATAGTGCCTGCTTAAGAAATCCAATTTACTGTATCTGTAAATGGTTAGTTATGATATGTACGTTATTTCGTACATGATAAACCCAATAGGACTACCATAGCCAAGTATGGGAAAAAGTGTAAATATAAAATCAGTTCATTAGTTTTATAATTATGCATATTATTATACAAAATGGAAAACGCTTATCTTAAATAGATTTTTTTTTCAATTTTTTTGGAAGAATTCTTACAAATACGTCTTGGATTGATACATTAAGAATATATATTTAAACAACTCAAAGAAATTTAATTAAAAAAATATTCCTTTTCAAAATATTCTATCTTATATTTTTATTTCAATATACTGTATAATTTTTTAACTTTTACTTTAATCATGCTTTATAATTTTAGTGATTCATATTATTATATCATATCACTCTTCCCCATACTATATTATAAGTTCATGTTATTAAATATTCTTAAATGTACATAAAACTTATGTGGTCGTAATTGTATGTAAATACTGTTAAACGTTCTATAACTTCTCTGATATATGAATATAAGAAAAATTGGTTATTTAGTATAATTCTGACTTAAGATTTGACTTACTTTTATCTCAGACTCCTTTATTTGCAATGTGGTATCCATTACTGCTCCACCAATTACAATCTATAACATAAACAAATTGCATAATGGAAACAAAATAGATAATGTTATATACATTTCAGAATATATAAATATTTCTTTTTTTACTTACTGGATTTCGCTTTGATACAAAAATGCATTCAGATGTGTTGTTGTTAAAAGAATTTTGAACATATTTTTTTGCCAAATTCACTGCAATTTCTGCTGCTACGCTTGCATTGTTTTCTATGAGTGCCATATCTCATAATTTAAAAAAAATATATAAACATTTATCTTATATATACTTTTTTAAATTTTATATCAAAGAATTTAATTACTTACTAGCTTGAAGAGATTGACCATGTGTAATTCTATTTAATTCTTCTAGTAAAAATGGTGTAACATTCTTTCCACTGATATTTTGATATTTTGCATTTTCTAGAGCTTTATGTATAGCTGATTCCATTTCTTTAGAATCCAATGCATACTTTTCAGGAATGGGGACAGTAAACAATATTCCTGTTTGAAAACCTAATTCTCTTTGTTTTTTAAGAATTTCTGTTGCTTCTTCTGAAGTTGATACTTTATGTGGCGCTTTTATTTTCTGAAATGTTTCAGTGCAATAAAATGCAGGAAAATAATTTGTTTTACCAATTTTTATAACTGGAACTCCATGAGTTTCCTATAAATAAAAATAGTTATAAATATCTATTGTAATAATTATATTATTTTTTAAAAATGCAAAAAAAAATATATTAACCAGATATTCTAATGTCTTTTCAATGTCTAATATAGATTTAACACCAGAACAAACAACAGCTACAGGAGTACGTCCAAGTTCTATTAAATCAGTACTAATATCAAAAGTCATTTCTGCCCCACGATGAACACCACCAATACCTCCAGTTGCCATTATAGGCAAATGTAGTAGATTTGCTATTAACATTGTTGCACTAACAGTTGTTCCTCCATTTAATTTTTGAGCGACAATTGTTGATATGTCTCTGCTTGAACACTTAACAGTTTTGGAATGTGATTGTGCTAATATTTGCAGTTGTTCATTATTTAAACCAACATGTATTTGTCCATTTAAAATTCCTATAGTTGCAGGTACAGCACCCTAAAATAACACAAAAAGTATTTATATTTTTTTTTTTACTTTTTTTTCAATAATTTATAAATCATTTTCTTCACTTTTTTTCTGACAATATTTTCCACTTGAATAGCTGTCTTTAAATTATCAGGATAAGGCATTCCATGAGTAATGATTGTCGATTCTAAGGCAACAATTGGTAATTCATTTTTTTTTGCCATTTCTATATCATGACTATAAACAAAAATTTTGCAATTATTACTAGCTTGACGGTTATTTAATAAATTGATTTGTTTCACTGCTCCAAGACATTTTCGAAAATTCATCCACTGCATCTTTATATATTTTTTTCTAAGTATATATAAATTATTATTAAAAAAATATTTGAATACAGTTTGTTTTTTATTGTTTAACGAATAGACTGAAGTGGTAAGTTAAAAACGATATTTATATTGAACATTGATAAAATGTATATTATCCATAGGTTATCAAATATCTTGAATATTTTTAAAAGAAAATTAAAAAAAGATTGCATAAATTATACACGTTTAATTAATATATATTTCATAATGAAAATAAAATATAATATAACAAAATAATTATATCGAAATTTAATTTAATATAAATTTCGATAAAAAATTTTTTCGATTTATTTGCTTGCGAGTTTAACTCAAAAAGTATATAATCTTAAATTGTTGATTGATTATTATAAGCATTTTATATTTCAAACAAAAATATAACAATTTTTCATTATTGTTAAATGTGTTAAAATTATTTAATACAATTTAATCCAAAAAATTTTGAAAATTTAAATATAGTGAAATACTAATTATTTTCTAATTTAATCATATTTATTGATATATAATTTTTCATTACTTATAATTTTTTCAAAGATATCATTAAAAATATAAATATGTAATAAAATTTTTTTTTAAATAAATAATGCAACTATTAATATATTTTAAATATATCTAATTGATCTGATTTTAAGAAAATATTAACTTTATTATATAATATAATATTTAACTTTATTAAATAAAAAAAAGAAAAGTAAATATTATCCTCTTATGTAATATATGTAAGTATAAATATGATTTTTTTTTAAATTAACTATACATTAATAATTAATTTTAATTATCTAATTAAATGTAAAACGAATTCATTCTTTTTGTAATTTTATTACAAAATATTAAACTTTGGTCCAATCAAAAACATAATGCAAATTACAATATACATATTACATATGTTTTTTCTGTTTTATATTTAAACATTATGAATGTTTAATATATTTTTATATTGTGATAATGAAACATATTTTTTAAAGAACTATGATAATATATATATTTTATAGAAAAAAAATCAATTCTTTTTAGTTTTAGTTTTAATTAAATTTTAAAAATTATTTAACATATAATAAACATATAATATAATAAATATAATAAAATATTTAACTTTATTTCTAATTAATTAAGTATATTTTTATTAGATTTTTCACTAAATTTTTACTAAATTTCTTTCATTGAGCATTCATAAATATACAAATTAATATATCAACAAATAATAGATTTATCAACAAAGAAAAAAAGAAGAAATAATAAAAGACCAAATTTTGCAATAATAATACAAAATATACACAAACAAAAAATATATAAACACATTCTGAATTTTATATTTCATTTCACAAAAATATTTATATATCTTACATAATGTATTATGTTATATCAATAAAAAATTAATTTTTATTTTTGAAAATTAATTACATCGATTATATAATTTTAATTTTGATTTCATTCTTGTTTGTTTTTATTGCAAAAAAGGAAAATATTAAATTGTGTGTATTAAATATATTCAATATTAAAGTAAGACACATATATAATTTCTACGTTCCTGTCTGAAGTTTGCATGATACGTAAGTAAATACATGTCGAATGTAATTTCGTTAGTCGATGACTTGCATACGAAGAGTTAAGTTCGAGAGTTAAATTCAAAAGTTGTAGACATAAATAAGTTTATTAGTATTATTATTATAAAAAAATAAAAATCTGAATTTAAAAACATAAATATGAAATCGAAAAAATCAAGTAATATCGGAATATTATATTTAAAAGCTTATAATCTTTTACAAACTATTGGGTATGCATTATTAATTTTTTAGTTCTAATAAATTGTTAAAAATATGTATGTAAAAATATTTTATTGCTATAATTATTTAAAAGATGAATATATTTGCGTAAAACTTATAGTTATTTGAAATATAAATATATATAATATATAAATATTTGATACAACATCAAAATATAAAAAAAAATATTTCTATAAATATTTATAGAATATTAAAAATTAAAATAATATATAGTAAATATTATTTTTGTAGTTGGTCTTATATATTATATAAACTCTTAACAAATGATTATTCTTCTACAATAGAAGCAAATTTATGGCAGAATATAAAATGGCCTGTCATTATTTTTCAACATGCTGCTCTTTTAGAGGTATAAAGATTTTAAATTAATTTTTAATTTAATTTTGATTTCAAAATGTTAAATGACAAAATATATATTTCTTATAGGTAATTCATGCTGCAACTGGTTTAGTTAATGCAAAAGCAATGATTACATTTATTCAAGTATTAAGTCGTGTTTTTGTTGTAAGTTGTGTAATTTTAGCAACTCCATATAATTATGCAGCTTCATCTCTTGCTCTTCCAATAATGATCTTAGCATGGTGTATATCAGAAATAAATAGATATATATTTTATGGTCTCAATCTTTTTGGACTTAATCCTTATTTTGTTAAATGGCTAAGGTATTTAATAATTTATAGATATCATATTTAAGTTGTCTTTTTTTTAACATTTAAAATTGAAATATTTTAATTTTTATAGATACACATTATTTTATATATTATATCCAGTTGGTGTAACTGGAGAATTAATATGTACATATTCAGCAGTAAAATATGCAAATTCTCACCCAGAAGCATGGAGTTATAGGCTTCCCAACTCATGGAATTTTATATTTAGTTATCAAATTTTACTTATAACTGTTATGTTATCATATATTCCCTGTAAGTTTTCTAAATATGTAATTATTATTTATTATTGATTGATTTATTATTCATTTATTTATTATTCATTAATAAAATTTTTTTTTTATTCCAGTTTTTCCACAAACATATATGCATATGATTGCTCAAAGACGTAAAAATGTTGGAAGTGATGCACTTAAAAAAGCTAAATAATATGAATAAATTTTGATGTTAATAAATTTACATGTTAATAATATTTTATAATATTTTATTGAAAATAAATATCATAATATTTTATAAAAATTGTATGGAGTTTCTATTTCAAAATATTATTTTTGAATTATATATGTGTGGTGTGTGTATGTGGACGCGCGCATCTATATATATATTATATATATATATATATAATATATTTTTTAATTATAATATAATACTAAAATTTAAAGATTTTTTAAGAATAAAACAAAAATAAAAATTGTTTAATATGTTTAATAAAATCACTTACAATTTTTATATAAAAAGTTATAAAAAATTCATAAATTAAAAGTAGCATTTGTTTAATTCCCACATTTATTTATTTTAATTGATACATTATTTTTAATTAAAATTATTTGAGTTAAATCAAAATAAAGATTTTATATTATTGTTATTGATTTTACATTAATAATAATTTTATTTTATTTTATTTAGATAACAATTTATCATAATATCATTCAATATAACAAAAAAACAAAATACAGAATTTTTTAGTATTGCTTCAATACATTTAAACGTACACGAGTTAGTTGTATTATAACCTATTTTAACTGCATATATTCAAGTTCTAATATATGTATACAAGATATTGTAGTTATTTTTTTTAACCACTAAAACAAAATTGTTTTGCTTAATATTATTTGAAGAAATTGTACAAATTTTAAAATATGTCTGAACACAATGAAGATACAGAAAAAGGTAATATTTTCAAATTGTCATTTCTCTAATGATAATATAATAAAATTCAATCTTTTTTTTATTTACAATTTTTTTCGAATAATAATTTCAAAATATAAACAATTAAATTTTCTGTTTTAATACATGTACCTATATTTTTATGATAAAATCAAGAATGTTTTAATTGAAATTTTTAGTTTCATAATTTTAATATATCGATATTTATTAAATAAAATACTCAAGAACTTTTATTATTTTTTTTTAATTTTTTATAATGTAAATATTTATATAGTGTAACATAAATAAGTGAAACCTTATATGAAATTCTATCATAATGTAGAGGTTAATTGATATCCATAATAGTTTAAGAAAGTTTATTAATAAGTTTTAAATAAAATAGTTAAAAGAATTTTAAAAAATTATCGTTTAACTGTAATTGTTGTATTCTAGATATTTAAATTTTTATATTATTTTTACAAAATTTTAAATAATCGTTAAATGACATGTGTTTTTACTAAAATACATTACGATATCGTAACATATGATATCTGTTTACAATACAAAACGTCAAAATGTTTTCATACATTATTTTTCCTTTAATTAATCGACAATTATTTGTGTTACATTTTTGGCGAAAATCTTTATTATATATTTTTATCGGAATCAATACACATTAATTTCTTTAAATAATTTGAATGTTTTTTTTTCTTCAATAGGTTTGGTTTATTTAATTATTTTAAATACTTTAATTAATTATAAAAATACTTTAATAAAAATACATTACATTTTTTAATAATAATATAAAATTGATTAATTTTCACAAAATCACTAATAAAAATTTAATAACTTTATTATTAATATTAATATAATTTTATTAATATTATTAATATAATTTTATAACAAATCTCACATTTATTAAATTTATAATAACAAAATAAAATTTAATTTATTTCTGATATATATTATTAATACTATTATTTAATAATTTGTATTAGAGAAAAAATCAAATGAGGAAGCAACAAATAATTCTTCAGAACAAGAGGAGATAGAAGAATCTGATATGGAAAAGATTCGTAAATATTTAGCACAGAAATTGAGACTTTTTGATTCATCAAATAATAATGAACAGTCACAAAACAACCCACATAAAGTCCTCCGTGAACTTAGCATAGATGGAATAGTAGAATATATAAAAGAAAAAGAAAATTGTAAAATTATTACTATGGCTGGAGCTGGTATCTCTACATGTGAGTTTTTTCTAAGCTGGAATTGTAAAAATATATTATATATAATGAATATTATATTTCTTATTATTATTTTTTAGCTGCAGGAATTCCTGATTTTCGATCACCAACAAGTGGTCTTTACCACAATTTAGAAAAATATAATCTACCTCATCCTCAAGCTATTTTTGAATTAGATTTTTTCATGGAAAATCCTGAACCATTTTTTATGCTTGCAAGAGAATTGCTACCTGATGATGGTTTTAAACCTACACCATCTC